CTAATTTCAAGTGGGTTGCCGCAGAGTCAGTGCTATTTATAGCCACTCAGTTCCCCCTCATTAGGAAGGGCCAACACAGCTGCAGAATCACACTGCTGGAGAGGTAGTAACAGGTAAAATAGAAAGACTTGATGGAGAACAAATGCTAGATAGGCGAATAGAACCAGATACTGTCAGCCTCTTGTCAGGAACGGAAGAAAAAGACACACTGACATGATATATTAACACCTCCCTTCCCCCAACCCGTAGGATACGATTACATGGCCATAAATGTGGATCTTAGCAGCAATGTGGGAAGCCCCGACTCTTTCCTGTACATCTCATCTATGTGCTATCCTCCTAGATAGCACCAGTCTCCCCAGGAGACAGGTGAGGGACGAGGGCTGGCGTGTCCATGTGCCCTCTGGCCTGTGGAGGTGCCTACGGTGCTCGCTGAGGACAGGGGTCAGGTGAGAGGCATTGGCCCTGGGTATGTTCTTGCTCTAAGGCAACATTTAAGAAAGGTAGAGCCTGTCAAGAAGAAAACATGGTCACTGGGTTTCAGCTGATACTCTGCTTCCTGTTGGCGTCCCTTGGCCTCTACTGCTAAAGCAAGGCCTTCTTCTGTTGGCAATAAAGGAAACCAGCATCCTTGGAGGTGGTGCCTGTGAAGCCCCCAGCCTTCCCTGTCTGTGTGACTTTAGTGACCACAGACAGAAACAGACAGTGGGAACACAGCCCCTCCCCAGTGCTCCCATAAAACAGCACAAACTCCAGTAAAACAACTGCATCCGGCTCCTGCTGTGGGGTCAGAGCACCATCCCCAGGTGAAAAAGTGTTAGCACAAATAAACAGGAGTTGCTTGGGAGAGGGGAGGAGAAAGGGAAGAGCTTGCTTTCCAGGAAGCAGAGTCAAAGCTGATTTGCCAGGGCAGAGACTGCCAGCCTCCCCCCGGAAATCTAAACACTGTCTCATTCCTCGGCAGAGCTCAGCTTGAAAACAAGCAATCAGCTCTTGTGTACAGACCACAGGCGACATCTTCATTAGGCAGACGTGCTCCGGGGGCAGAGCAAACAGGTGTGACCAAGAAAGGGAAAGACAGGGAAGAACAAGTAAGAGGCCAAAGGGCAGAAGAATGCAGAGAAGACAGAAACGCAAGAAATTTGGGGCAAAAAAATGAAACACCCAACAGCTGAGGCCAGCACTCCACCTTCTCTGTTCGTTCCAGAAAGATCAGCCTAGAGCAAGGCGGCAGCAGGGAGCACAGTGTCTGGTAACAAAAATAGGGAAGGGTGGGGAACCAAAGGATGTCATTCTAATCAGCTGAAGTGACCAGGACAACAACCAGCAGAACAGGAGGCACCTAGGGACCCTGTGAGGCACCAACCATGTAGCCAAGTGTTTCTAACGGAGACTCTGGGTCTGACCGCCCGATGCCCACTCCGGCCTTCACCTGCCCTACGTCTGCAGCAGCACCTCCGGCTCGGACAACGAGCAGTAGAGAGTATATCCCAATTCGTCTATTTCTTGAGGGGTGAGCTCTGCAAATAGGTTCACCTTGGGGTTCAGGGCACTGGGCAAGACTCCAGCCTCCAAGTAGCTGATGAGTCCCCTCAGAGCCTGCAGAAAACGGTCGGCCAGCATGTCTGGAGACCAGTCAGCCTCCTCCTGGGCCAAGTGGAGGATGACATTGGTTAGCTGGCTGGCAGTGAGGTGGCCCAGAGCTGGAGTGGACTTGCATATGGCCTTGAGGATCTTGAGGCACAGAGACCGACAGCCTGAGTCAGCCTGGTCCAAAGCCCGTAAACGTGCCGTCTCAGCAGGGCGCAAGCTCAGCCGCCAGAGGTTGTCATGCTGAGCTAGCCGGTGCGGTCTGGCCACCAAGACAGTGTCACCGAGGGTCACTGACGGCAGGAAGTCAATGACAAGATGTTTGTCCTTCTCGTACTGCACTTCTAGCGTCAGGGCCTCTGGAGGGGGTGCTGGTCGGATCACGTAGTCCAAGAGGGACCCTATGGCTGGCCAGTTGATAGAGCCTGCCACTACCTTCTCAAATGTGTCTGCCACTGTCTTTGGGGAGAGGTAGCCACCTACAACACAGCGGTCCCAGTAACTGCTCCCACGAGGAAAGTACTCTGGGTTCTCCCGACGGACCAGGAAGAATCCAGGTGTGTTCATGATGGTGTCCTCGCCAGGTATGCACGACCACAGGTTCTGCTCCAGCACAAGGGGGACAATGAGTTGAATGTGATCAGCTGTCACCACCTGCCAGAGCAAATTAAAAAGGGTCGGTTTGGTTTTTAATTTTTTATTATAGTTGAGTGTGTGCATGTGCACACATGTAACGTGTCATTGCATGTGGAGGTCAGAGGTAACTTAGAAGTCAGTTTTCTCCTTCTACCATGTGGGACTCAGGGACTGAACTCGGGTCATCAGATTTGGTGGCAAGCACCTTTACCTGCTGAGTCATCTCACTGGCCCCAGAATTCAAAGTTTTTTAAGGGCTTTGCTACTTACAGCACAGATCTTCACACCCTGCACTTGCCACAGTAACGGAGACCAATGATCCAATTAGCACACAGGAAACAGGACAAGAAGACAATAAAGGACAGGTTGTGTACGGCCACCCTGGTTCGGGGTTTGGGGGTTTTTGTTTATTTTTGAGGCAGGATGTCATATAACCCAGGCTGGTCTCAAACTACATGGCTAAGGATGACCCTAACCTTCTGACCCCTCGGCCTCCTGAGTGCTGAGATGACAGGCCTGGGTCACTAGGCCTGTTTTCTGCAATGCTGCGGACTGAACCCAGGCATAACACAACTCAGCTATACCAACTGAGCCCCATCCTCAGCCCCATAGCTTCTTAAAAAGTATAAGTATGACTTAAAAAGTGAGACAGGATGGAGCAGAGAAAAAATACTGCTGTCGGGCAGGATTTATAAGCAAGAGGCTTTCCAGTTGAGGCCCAGACACGACTTTCTTGAGCAACCACAATACTGAGAAGTATCTGTCTGTCTGTGCCCAGTCCCACCCTTCCTAAGAACTCTGTTACCTGCAGATCGTCATAGAGGCTGCCACTCAAGTACATGTCCCGAAGTGGCATATCAGGCAGCTTGGCCCGCAGGAAGCTCCGGAGCTCAGCACATATGTCCACCGCAGCTTGCTTGGCCCGAGCCTGCTCTCCAGCAGGGATGGCTGCCCGGTTCCGGTAGTAAGAAAGAAGTTTCTCCTGCAGGGACATGCGGAGTCGTGACTTCTTCAAGTCTACCTGGCCCCTCCTGGCCAATGGTTTGGGCCGGGGTGGGCAGAATGTATCTGCCAAGGCAAGAGAGAGAGGCATGTGAGCTCTGCCCAAGCTTGCTCAGTCCACAGAAGTCCTAGTCCCAGGAAGGAAAAGGACTGGGCACGAAGGACAAGTTGCCTGACATTCCGCGCTGAGAAATGTCTCCCCATGTCTAAGTGCAGAGCAGGCCCAGAGAGTGGAAGGAGTCTCTCACCTGTGTCAAAGGCAGCGGAGTCTGTGGGAAGAGTCTGCAGAGACCGGCTCAGGCCTGTCTTCATGTCCTTGTTCAGCAGTCGAGGGGAGCCCATCCAGTTTGGCTCTTCCCAGCTCCTCTTCCCTGAATGGCTCAGGCGGGTGGGGCTGGTAGGGGCACTGATTGCCCGATCATACATCTGTAATACCAGAGAGGACCCAGGACATACACCAGCCCTCCTCCTCCCCCGGACTCTTTGCCCTACTAAATCCCCAGACAATTATTTTTTCCACTTTACTACAAGTCAATTTTACTTAAATCAGGATTGTCCAACAAAATCATAGCCATTCGTGATCTGAATTCTGGTATATGAATTAAATTATGGTATACATGCCAGGTGGTAGTGGCGCATGCCTTTAATTCCAGCCCTTGAGAGGCAGAGGCAAGCAGATCTCTGTGAGTTCAAGGCCAGCCTAGTCTACCAAAATAAATAAAATTATGGTATACATAAAAAAAAAAAAACGTGTTTTATAATCAATAAGGCAGTAGTGTTACTCATTAATCACCTTTTTAAGAATAAACTATCAGTCTGCCCTTCCTTTTTCTTAATTCCAGCAAAGGTCACTTTTATTCCAGTTATGTACTTTTGGGGATTCTCCAAATACTCCATCATGGTGTCCTCTCCCCAAATGATGCCTTTGCTCTTGTTGGCATCTGTGCCAGAAAAGCCCGTGGCTGACCTGTCTTCCGCCCAAGCAGACCATGAAGATTTGGTCCATTCTTATGCTTGTCTCCCTTTTCTACAGCATGGCACTGGGCACACTTCTTAAGAAAACTCTTCTTGCCTTTTGATACATCACCTATTTTTGCTGGGCAGTGGTGGCACACAATTTTAATCCCAGCACTGGAGTCAGGTGAATCTCTGTGAGTTCGAGGCCAGCCTGGTCTACAGAGCGAGTTCCAGGATAGCCAGTGTTACACAGAAAAACAGTCTCAAAAACAAAACACAACAAATAAACAAACAAACAAAAAAGAATCACCCATTTTTAATTCGATCCTGGCTGGTAAACACCACAAATGCTAGGATCCAAGGACAGACATCCCACTCTCTCCTCAGCCACTTTTTTTTTTTTAATAATTTTGTTTTAGTCTAGACTGTAAAGTATAGTGCTCCATGCAGAAAAGCTCAAGAAATATTAAATGCTACAGGAAATAATTTACTCACAATGCGACAACCCACAGGAAATTGCAAATATGTGTTATATTTCTTTCTGGAGATATTTATGCCATCTAGATCAGACATTTTTTTCTAGATCAGATTTTTTTTATTTTGTACATGGGTGTATGTGTGTACATGTGCACATACCCCAACGTGTGTGTGAATGGACGACTTTGGGGAGTCACTTCTTTCCTTCCACCATGTGGGTCCCCGGGATCAAACTCTGGTTGTCTGGCTTGGAGCAAGCACCTTTACCTAGACTTCTGAAATCACATTTCCCCTTTTTGGTCATTTCTTCCGATCACTAAAGATGCTTCAATATTTTCTAGCTATACAACATTATTCCTTAAGAATATTCCCTGTTGAGCTGGGCGGTGGTGGCGCACGCCTTTAATCCCAGCACTCGGGAGGCAGAGCCAGGCGGATCTCTGTGAGTTCAAGGCCAGCCTGGGCTACCAAGTGAGTTCCAGGAAAGGCGCAAAGCTACACAGAGAAACCCCGTCTCGAAAAACCAAAAAAAAAAAAAAAAAAAAAAAAAAAAAAATTCCCTGTTGAATTCTTCACAGACTTGGAAAGAAAAATATTCAACTTCATATAGAAAAACAAGACCCAGGATAGCTAAAAGAATCCTGTATAATAAAGCAACTTCTGGAGGCATCACCATCCCTGACCTCAAGCTCTACTATAGAGCTATAGTAATAAAAACAGCTTGGTACTGGCATAAAAACCGACCTACATACCAATGGAATCGAATTCAAGACCCTGACATTAATCCATACACATATGAACACCTGATTTTTGACAAAGAAGCCAAAACTATACAATGGAAAATAAGAAAGCATCTTCAACAAATGGTGCTGGCATAACTGGATGTCAATATGTAAAAGATTACAAATAGACCCATATCTGTCACCATGCACAAAACTCAAGTCCAAGTGGATCAAAGACCTGAACATAAATCCAGTTACACCAAACTTAATAGAAGAGAAAGTAGGAAGTACTCTTGAACGTATTGGCACAGGAGATCACTTCCTAAATATAGCACTAGCAGCACAGACACTGAGCACAACAATTAATAAATGGGACCTCTTGAAACTGAGAATATTCCCTGTTGAAAGGGCTGGGGATGTTGTTCAGCAGCCGAGTGCTTACCTAACACTCCATGGTGAACATTGATTTATTCCACAAGTAGTTACCAACTGTTCCTCAGTATCACCAGAGGGTTAGTCCCAGGACACTCCAAGCATATCACAATCCTTAGATGTCTCAGGTCCCTACAGGAAATGGCACTGTAGCTGAGTATAATGGTCCATGCCTAACGTCTCAGTCAGGAGGCCAAGCAGGAAGATTTGAAGTTCAAGGCTACATAGTGAGTTCCCAGCTAGGCAGGCTACAGAGTAAGACCTTATCTCAAAACAAACAACGGGACAGTGAGAAGACTCACTTGCTCCCCACTAATGCAAGTCTGAGTCCAATCCCCAAAACGTATATAAAGGTAGTGAAAACTGACTCCACAAAGTTGTCCTCTGATCTCCACTGTGCATCTGCACACAAGTATTACACACCAATAAAATACTTTTTTTTTTTTTTTTTGGTTTTTCGAGACAGGGTTTCTCTGTGTAGCTTTGCGCCTTTCCTGGAGCTCACTTGGTAGCCCAGGCTGGCCTCGAACTCACAGAGATCCAAAATACTTTTTTAAAAAAGTCATTGTACTTAAATATAACCTGTGCACAGCTTTATATGTATTTTAAATTTTATATTATCTAATACAATGTAAATGCTATATAAATAATTATCCTGATTGCTTAAGGAATGATCCAAAAAAATTCTGTACCTATTCAGTGTAAATATAATTTTTTTGTTTGTTTTCTAGTCAGGGTTCCTCTGTGTAGCCCTGGCTTTCCTGGAACTCACTCTGTAGCCCAGGCTGTCCTCGAACTCAAGACACTTGGAAAGAAAAATACTCAACTTTCTGCCTCCCAAGTGCCAGGATTAAAGGTGTAAGCCATCACACCCAGCCATGCAAATACAATTTTTAAAAAAAGTATTTTCAGTCTGGGTAACTGCAGCTGTGATATGGAGCTCACAGACTCAAAGGGCTGTCAGTACTTCAGAGATCCTACATGCTAAGAACTGTTCTGAGCTTCTAGGTGTGTCCAGTCTACCCGGAGGGTGAAGTTCAACACAAAGTATGCAGATAGAGATAAATGTTTTAAAAATAAGAGTAAGATCCCCCCTCTACCCCCACCGCAGAAAGTTAAGTTTGAGGAGAGGGGACGAGGGGAACATGGACATGAAGAAGAGGATCCACCTGGAGCTGAGGAACCGGACCCCGGCAGCAGTTCGAGAACTTGTCTTGAGCAATTGCAAAGCAAATGATGGAAAAATTGAGGGGTTAACAGATGAGTTTGTGAACCTAGAGTTCTTCAGTTTAATAAGTGTAGGCTTGTTTTCAGTGTCTGATCTCCCCAAGCTACTGAAATTGAAAAAGCTTGAGCTCAGTGATAATAGGATCTTTGAAGGTCTGGACAGACTAGCAGAAGAACTTCCAAGCATCACACATCTGAACCTGAGTGGAAATAAGCTGAAAGACATCAGTACCTTGGAACCTTTGAAAAAGCTGGATTGTCTGAAAAGCCTGGATCTGTTTGGCTGTGAGGTCACTAACCTGAATGATTACCGAGAGAGTGTTTTCAAGCTCCTGCCCCAGCTGTCCTATCTGGATGGCTATGAACGAGAGGACCAGGAAGCCCCTGACTCAGACGTGGAGGTGAATGGTGTAAAGGAAGCTCCTGACTCAGATGCAGAGGTGGATGGTGTGGACAAAGAAGGGGAGAATGAAGAAGGAGAAGAGGAAGATGAGGACGGTGAAGAGGATGATGATGATGAAGAGGATGAGGATGAAGATGAAGATGTAGAAGGAGAAGAGGATGAAGATGAAGGGATGAAGATGAAGTCAGTGGGGAGAAAGAAGAATTTGGACATGATGGAGAAGTTGATGAAGATGAAGATGAGGAGAAAGAGGAGGAAGAAAGTGGGAAAGGTGAAAAGAGGAAGAGAGAGACAGATGATGAAGGAGAAGATGATTAAGACCCGAAACAATCTGCAGGAAACAGAACTGCTGAGTACTGGTTGGACTGCTCATAGATTTGGTAGCTGTTTTAAAAAGGTAGCTGTGATACAAGCCCCAGGACACCCCCACCTAAAGAGCCAAAGAATAGTTCCCGAGACATTCCGCCTTCCTCTGTTTAGTCCCTTGGTAATCCACCACCAAGCCTGGGGACTTCGCCCCAACAAAACTGTAAACGTTGTTAGGTTTTCGTGTAAGATTCTTGCTGTATTGTGACAGCTGTGATTGGTGAGTTGACCGTCTTGGCTGCCAGTTACACTGCGATTGTAACAACATTTTTACTTTCTGTACAACAAGGAAAAGCTTTGTAAATAAAATCTTAACATTTAAAAAAAAAAATAAGAGTAAGAAAAGGAAACAGAAGTATGCGTGTGGCTAGCACTTCAATTCAGGTCATGGGGAAGGAAGGGTAGCTGGGTTAGTTGCTGTTTTACTTGCTAGGACACATTTCTTTACATCTCAGTGGTCTCTTTATGGCAGAAGCCTAGAAGCAGACTGCCAGAGGAGTAAATTATACTCGCATTAGAGTGTCAGAGGTAGAGGCAACTCACCACCTCCCATCCTGGGACCAGGCCGCAAGCACTTACCCGCTTAACTGCCAGGGTGGCGATGCCCAACATGGCTGCTCCACCAACACCCAGCACCAGCCGGGCATTGGAAAGCACAAAATCAATGGCTGTGCCGATGCCATTGTCGTCCTTCTTGCCTTTGCGCTCACCAGCACCTGCCATTGCTCACCTGAGAATGAAGACAACACAGCCATCACCAATCGGGACCACAAGAACCATTCCTTTCTGTCCCTCCGCATCACAATCAAGGCTACTGCACGCAAAATCTAGGACTGCGTACTCTGGGGCCCAGAGGAGAGGCCCCGTGTCCTGTAACTCACCTAGACACACAGGAAAAGAAATGCTAACCTATACCACAGAAAAGTCTGTCTACAGACCTGAGACTACAGCAAACGTTCAGTTCATTATCAATCCTATTTCTGTGCTGCAGGAAAGTATCCCACCATACAATACAAGCCTCCCTACTCCTTTACAATGTGGTGTTGCTAGGAAGACAAGGTCTTCCTTCTTTAGCCGTTGCTTTGGGAATGTTAGGATTAAGAGACAGGCATGGTGACACATGCTTATAACCCCAGCACAACAGGAGTCACATTAAAAAAACAAGACTCACCAGGCAGTGGAGGCACATGCCTTTAATCCCAGCACTCAGGAGACAGAGCCAGGCGAACCTCTGTGAGTTCAAGGCCAACCTGGTCTACTGAGCGAGATCCAGGACAGGCACCAAAGCTACACAGAGAAACCCTGTCTCGAAAAAACCAAAAGGGAAAAAAAAAAAAAAAAAAGACTCACTGTCAAAACCAAAAATACTCTTTCCCACTATACTCACACTACGGCACTTCCCTTTTCTCTACCTTTGACTTTCAATTAAAATATATTCCTACTTCAAATGCACAGAGAATCAGGCAAAGAAGTGTTAAACACAGTAAGTACATGTGGAGTCAGAGAGCTATTCACCATCCTTCCAGCTACCACTGCGACAGACATGGGACAGGAAACCCAGCGAAGGCAGAGGATTCTCATCAGCAAAGGCAGGTCACTCACACTGCCACACAACTAGCAATGACCTCTGTTTGTTTTATTTGTTTGTTTGTTTATCTATTTATTTATTTATTTATTTTTGGTTTTTCGAGACAAGGTTTCTCTGTGTAGCTGTGGTGCCTCTGCTGGATCTCGCTCTGTAGACCAGTCTGGCTTCGAACTCACAGAGATCCGCCTGGCTCTGCCTCCTGAGTGCTGGGATTAAAGGCATGTACCTCCACTGTTGTTGATTTTTAATAATTTTTTTATTCTATGTACATCAGTGCTTTGCCTGTATGCATGTCTGTGTGAGGGTGTCAGATCTTGGAGTTACAGACAGTTGTTAGCTGCCCTGTGGGTGCTGGGAATTGAACCCAGGTCCTCTGAAAGAACAATCAGTGCTTTTAACCACTGAGCCATCTCTCCAGCCCCCAAACCTCTATTTTAAGAAAAACCTTTACAAATAGATTTACAGGTACACACCTTTAATCCCAGCACTGGGGAGGAAGAGGCAGGCATGTCTCTAAGTTCGAGTCCCAGGACAGCCAAGGATACACAGAGAAACCCAATTTCAAAAAACAAAGAAAGAGAGAGAGAGACTGATTTCTAACAGGAAGAAGCACTGGATGCAGAGCCCTCTAAACCATCCTTTAAAGAGGGAACCTCTTCCTTCTAAGTCGAAGCCAGCAGAGGCCTCACTGAACCTGTCAGGCCTTGGCCCTGCTGATGACTGAAAGATCAAGGTAGGCACAGCATCACAGTACAGTACATAGGTTTTAGAGTACATGGTTTTTGAAATTCTGAGATCTGAGCACTGGCCTTGAGCCTGAGCTAATTTGTTGGGTGACCCAAATGAGTCCCTTAGCTCCTCAGCTATGAAATGGGGATAATGTGGGCCCAAACCACAGGGTTGTAGTGAGGAAAAGCACTGGTTGCAACACCAAGTCCAAGTATTTCATCTGCTATAAACCCAGCCTACAAGTGACAGCATCATTAAGTCAAGATTTCCATCCACCAGAGAGAAGGGCTGCAACAGACTGTCCAGTTACACTGCATGTTTCGAGATGAAGTTCAAACAGCCTCAAAAACACTGAAACTCTCCTGTGCTTGAGCTCAGAACTGGTACGCAGAGCAGGCTTGCTAAAGGCTTCCCTGGTAATCTACGTCAATACTCTCATCCCACCCCAAGGACCCAGTAGCATCACACACCTGAGGACCTGGAAGAGAGCACCCACAAGCTCCAACAGGGAGACAGGTCCTTATTCTAAACCTTCCTTATTCAGGTTACTGTACCTCCATTATCTACCGATTCTGCTGCCTTCAACCTCCAGGAAACAAGAGCTCCCCTGGCAAGGAGAGTCAGGCTTGGTCCCTCAGGACAAGCAAGGAGGAACACTGTGTTTAACAGGTACAGTTTCAGATTAGCCAGATAAAAGTTCTGAAAACCTGTTGCATAATACTACCGACCTGTTCACTTAAACCACCTAAGATGGCTGGGGTTTTTTTGTTTTGTTTTGTTTTAAGATTTATTTATTTATTTAATAATACATTAAAATAATAATTTAATGTATATTTGGGGTGTGCCTGCATGTATGTCTTTATGAAGGTATCAGATCGCCTGGAAGGCGAGTTATAGACAGTTGTGAACTGCCATGTGGGTGCTAGGAATTGAACTCAGGCCCTTTGGAGGAACAGCCAGTGCTCTTAACTGCTGAGCCTCCTCTCCAGCCCCTAAGATGGCTTTAAAACTTTTTTTAAAAAAATAGAAAGAAAACACTGACCTGCCAGAAGGCTGGAAAGAATTGCACTCTGTGAACACTTGAAGCAAATTTTATTTAAACTATTTCCCCTAGACACAAAAATAAGAAACCCTGTCTTACCACTGTGGAAATCAGTATGGCAGTTTCTCAGAAAACTGGGAATCAATCTACCCCAAGACCCAGCCATACCACTCTTGGGCATATACTCAAGGAATGCTCAATCATACCACAAAGATACATGCTCAACTATGTTCAGAGCAGCACTATTCGTAATAGCCAGAACCTGGAAACAACCTAGATGCCCGTCAATGGAAGAATGGATGAAAAAAATGTGGTGCATATACACAATGGAGTACTACTCGGCAGAGAAAAACAATGACAGCATGAGGTTTGCAGGCAAATAGATGGAACTAGAAAAAATCATCCTGAGTGAGGTAACCCAAACCCTGAAGGACCAACATGATATATACTCACTCATAGGTGGATTCTAGATATAAAGCAAAGAACAATCAGACTACAACCCACAGAACCAGGGAGGCTATATAGCAGGGGGGACCCTAGGATGACTGTGGCTTATAATAAATTTGGTTTTGCTCAATTACTGGGCAAGCTTTAGTGAAACATTTCACTATTAGGATAAGAATTTGTACACTATCAAGCTGATGAAAGAATATGCTGGCCGTACTTTCAGGAGGAGAGGCTAAAATCTTTTTAGATTATAGATTAACCTATAGAAAAATGTCTGCCATAAATCAAACAGTGAAGGGGAAGATGAATAGGAATCTCACTTACACAACTTAAGTAAAACATAGCTCTCTGAACAGATGAAGATAAGTTTCTTCTGTATCCCAGAATCTAATCAATATTTATATGGATAATTCAGCTATCATTTGGCTTAAAAGGGTTTATTGGGAAATGTTATCACTTTTACTATTTTCTACAGAGAAAATATTTTCCAGTTTCAAATAACTCTGGACTTTAGAATTATAACCTGTTTTTATAATGATTGTAAATGTTTGTTTAAATAAACAAACAAACAAACAAATAAATAAATAAATAAAAGGAACCCTGTCTCACATGGCCTTCAATTGTTCAGATCCTATGGTCTTGTCTGTTTGGTGGTTCTGAATAGATAGGGTAGCCAAGACCTGAGAGCCATAGATTCAGCATCAGTTGAGGATTCTTGCTCCATGCTTCCAAGATGGTGCTGTTGTGGGATATTAGTACACTGTTGTAGTAGGCCAGGCCCAGAGGGTCAAAGAAATTGGCTCAAACCAGTTGCCAAGGCATGTACATAATGTACTTCCTTATGAGCCAACCTGGAGTCTGCCTGAGGTCCTAGCAGCAGGCACTGTCAGTTTCTGAGCGTGCCCAGCCAATGAGAGATGACCACGAAATGCCACCAGTTTGGGACACAGCTTAGGTGCTGGGAGGAGGGTATATAAGGCCTTCCCCATTATTGAATAAACGAGTCTGCTGTTTGCCTTCAAAAGAAAAGAAACCCTGTCTCAAAAAACAAAAACAAACAAAACAAAACGACAACAACAAAAAAACCTATTCCAGAAAAGGTCGTGCCCCATACCTGACAGGAAGAAATGACAACTCAGGGGCCAGAAGGACCCGTACAGGAAGGCAGGCCTTGCTGAACTTCCCTCTCTCTCCATCCTTATTAGATTATACACTATGTCTAGTCTATATCTACACAACTGTCAATTACTGAACCTAATATAAAAACGAGCAACTCATCCCCAGTCTTTGGGCCTTCATTCTAAGTGCTCCACAGAGGTGGTAACTTGTCATTTCTTACAGGGGATCAACCATGAGTCCTTCCCTAGAACCATGTCACCCAAGCTGGCCTCCAACTCCACAGATAGCCTCGAATTCATAATCCTCCTGCCTCCTCCTAAGTGCTGTGATTACAGGCACGTATGATCATATCTAGCTCTTATCTCCAATTTAAAGATGAAGAAACTGGCCAGGCGGTGGTGGCACATGCATTTAATCCCAGCACTCGGGAGGCAGAGCCAGGTAGATCTCTGTGAGTTCAAGGCTAGCCTGGGCTACAAAGTACATTCCAGGAAAGGCACAAAGATACACAGAAAAACCCTGTCTCGGAAAACCAAAAGAAAAAAAAGGAAACTGAAGTACATGTTCTGTCACTAGCCTAGAGTAACTTACACATCAGTTAAGTGTGCAGCCAGGGTTTGAATCTAGAGCTTATGCTGCTGGGAGAACTAATCCATGAGTCCCAACCAGCCTGCAACACCACCCCACCGCTGGTCTCTAACCACTAGACCTCCAGCCACTATAGCTTCATGGGAGCATTCTGGCACACTCACTGCTGCAAGAACGTAATGTTTGATATATTAAGTATCTACTGTAATGAATGAACTACCCCTATGGCACTGGAGGGGTTTTGTTTCGTTGATTTCTTCCTAAGACACAGGTAGTTCTTTAGCCCAAGCTGAAGAAATGTACTCCCTGTCCCAGGCCTTTCCAGACATAAGCTGCTGTATATCCCAGGCTGACCTGAAATTGACTACCTGCCCCAGGCTCTTTGTGGTCCTCTGGCCTCAGCTTCCTGAGGACAAGGATTACAGGTTTATACCATCATACCTAGCTTTTCATTTTCCCTTGATGGCAAGGTTTAATTGAATACAATTCACACTCAAAACATGAGAATGCATTTCAGTAACTCCCCACTTCTTCAGACCCACTGCCCTCCCCCAGCATGCAGGATTCCATGCACACCACCCAACCCCGGTTCTGTACCGCAAAAGATGGGTCTACTGACCGATGGAAGTGTGACTGAGAACTCAGAGCCATCACCTAAGGTTTCTGCTTTCTGTCTCAGTAAGCATTAGCCTCTACCCAACTGGCAAGCCTTAGACCACAGTCACACTTTATTTATGTGTATGTATTTTCCTCCTTTTGGAACACCTATGTTGCCCAGGCTAGCTTCAAACTAAAGCCCTCCCCTCCCTCAGTTTTCTGAGTGCTGGAATTACCAGAACGTGTGATCATGGTCAAGCTTTATGTCTCAGCCTGTCCCCTTCTCTCAGTGGTCACAAGCCCACTGTTGTCTACACTGTCATTTACACCTGAGCACCTCAGTACCTCCATCATCTGGCCAAATTCACCTCCTCTAGTGTCTCTCACCAACTTAGCCTCCACACTACCCTGGCATACTCCCAAACACAAATGTCCCCATCGCTCCCTTCTTAGAGAGCTGTGACAGTCCCCAGCCAGCTATCGCCTTCCTAAGAGGAAACTCAATGTCCTTCCACCCCTGGGTCCGACTTCAACTCCAGTCACTCCTTGTACCATTCTAACCACAGACCTGCTTCCCAGCTACGGAGTGCAGTCCCCATCTCCAGACAGCCATTTGTTTTCTCCCCACCGCAGCAAGTTTCTGCTTCTCAAGGGAGGCAGACCTCAAATGTCTTCCCTGTAACCATAATTCTCCCCTACCACCCAAACTAAGTGCGAGCTGTCTTCATCCCTGTCTCCATAACTTTTTATGCAGTGCCCGCACAGCACTCTTCATACCAGAATTACTTCCCACTCAGCTCCTCCTTAGGCTGGTTGTTGTTGTTTTTAAGATGTATTTATGTATATGTATTTTGTTTGCAATATAATATCTGTGGCCCATGTGTATGCCTGGTGTCCACGGAAGTCAGAAGAGGTCACCAGATCCCTTGGAACTGAAGTTATGGATAGTTATGAGCCATCTTCTGGGTGCTGAAAATCAAACCTGGATCTTCTGCAAAAACAAGTGCTCATAACCCTAGTCTAAAGTTTAATGGACCCATCTATCTTCTCTAGCCCCAGAGTCTAGGCATATAAAGGGACCTCTGAAAGGTTCCTGAATTAAACATGGCCATTATGCCGCAGTGGAGCTTCCTGACAGCAATGTCTCCAAGAATAAAAAGAGCCAGGGCCAGGGAGATAGCTCAGTGGATAAACACACTTGCCAATAAGCCTGAAGACCAGAGTTGAATTGCCAAGACCCCCAAAATAGACAGAGAGAACCAACTCCCACTAGTCTTATGACCTCCACAAGCATGCTATGGCACATGCGCCCACACTCGTGATAAAAATGTAACTTTAAGAAAATACAGGGCTAACACTCCAGCTGCCAAGTACCATTTCAGCGCTCTCTGTCCACTGTCCAGTCGATTCACAGAGAACCCAGAGAGACTAAGTACTATCACTTCCATTTCACAGACGATGAAATGAAGGCCTGGGGAGGCTGAGAGACTTAGCTACTAGTTAGCAGTGCCAACATCTGACAGCAGGTACTGAATATTATGATTGCTATACCAGTTATGCAGTAATGACAAACTCCTGTTTCAGGAAGTAAAGTGCAATACAACATAAACTGAGCTGCAGCTGGCTAGGAACTGAACTCTAACGACTTTAACCACTATGTTTTCTAATATTCTATTGACGCGTCTGTATTTTATCTGGTGAGCTTTAGAGAGTGAAGGACATACTTTGATGACAAAGGAAAGGCCGTCCCTTTCCTAGCATCTTACATCAGAAAAAAGGAAACCTCCAGGATCAAGGGTCCACCTACCTGCGGTTTCTTAAAGCATCTGTGAGGTGGGGTGGGGGGAGCCAGGAGTCTCTACTGAAGGCACCCTTGTCCTCTTCTTGGAATCAGGGTAGGAAGGGAAGAGAGAGGCTCCTAAATAAGGCCTCCTAGTCTGCTACGGAGGAAGACCAGGCCCTTCTCCAGCTGCTTCTCCCGAGCCTCTAGGTCCTCAAGCTTCTGGTTTTTTCTGAATTCACGGCGGATGGAAGCAAAGTAGAAGTCTCGATCAGTGTAGCGAAGCTCTCGGCCTTGGCGCAGCAGAGCCCGGTACAGACTCAGAACCACCTCTCGGCTCCACGGGGCCATGGGGAACGACAAGCACCACACTCTAAACAGAAGACACACAAGTCCAGAATCAGAATTGATGAGGGCTGGTCCTTAGGCACTGGGTCAGGGAACCTTAATGACAGAGACTTCCAAGGACTTCATGGCAGAGCTAGGATCAGACGCCTACCTCTCAACAGCCCCTCCTGGGGAAGGTCGGCTTATGGCTCACCAGAGCCTGAGCCTGAGTCCTGGCTGTGACATCCCACTGCCGTGGCACTTAGTAAAAAGTACATAAGCCCACTGAGTATCCCCTTCCTCGATGTAAAACAGAGATAACGATGACATCATGAGAATACCTACTCTATAAGGTTATTTTGAGAACTCCTCCTGCAAAGCACCTGTAATGGAACTTTACCAGAAGGTATGGCCTAGGGTGATTAAAGACAAGGATTCAGCCATATCTGCATCCTGGCACCACCATATGAGGAGCATTACCTTGAGAGGTGTTCTTCGTTGTTGTTGTTTTAGTTACTTTTTTATTGTTTACTTTATGTGTATGGGCATTTGCTTGAATGCTTGTCTGCACACCACTGTATATCTGGTGCCTTCCGAATCTATTCTCGAGACTGGAGTAATAGATGGTTGTGAGCCAACATGTAGGTGCTGAGAATTGAAATCGGGTCCTCTGGAAAAGCCGTCCCTCTACCCCTTTGTTTTTTTATTTTTGCTTTTGTTTATTTCGGGTTGTTTTTGTTTTGTTTTGTTTTGTTTTTTTGAGACTGGGTCTCTCTACAGAGCCCTGGCTGTCCTGGAACTCACCATGTAGACCAGGCTGGCCTCGAACTGAGATCTGCCTGCCTCTGCCTCCTAAGAGCTGAGATTAAAGATGTTCGACAAGTAACTGACGACGTTCCCAAAAGAAGTAATCTGCCCACCTGCCACAACAATCCAGACCCTAACTGGCTGGAATGAGAGGGGCTTCCATGGGTGCAGCACTTCCGGGTGTTCAGCAAACTTTCCCAGCCAGGGCCCAGGGCACACGACAGGCTCACAACTAGACTAGGAGGCTGGATCCTCCCAAAATCCCTACGTGGAAGAAACGATCGTTGGAGGAGCCGAAACGTGTTTGTTGGAGGAGTGAAGGAATATTTAGTTGGAAAAGAAAAAAACGATCTAGACCTTGGGCCCCAAGACAGGAGCCTCCGACCTCTCTGAAACTTCCACCGTCTCCGTCTCCTTCCCCCGAACTGCAGGGCAGCTCCCCTCGACCCCAAGGGTCTCCGGTGATGCAAGAGACGCGGGAAAACAACGGAGGGCTAGGACAGCGTCACGCACGGGCTGGAACAAGGTCGCTGAGTGACCGGCCACAGGCCCGGGTCAGGGCACAGCTCCCGGAGGGCGGGGACCCAGACCCCGGGGCCAGTCAGGCTGGAGATCGGATCCCCGGTCAGAGGCGGGGCGGGACGAGGCCTGGAGGCCCCAGAGGGAGCCGGTAGCCTCGGTCGGCCCGAGCGCAAGAGGCCGATCCCCGGCCGCCCTGATTCGCTCCCTCACTCACCCGCGGGCCACGCGCTACCTCTCCTCAGGACTCTCCACTCGCCCAGTACCTCTCTCGGGGTCACCCAACAACATGGCCCCTTTACTTCCGGGGCACGACCTCGCTCGCCGGGCCGACGGAGACGAGGCAAGGAGCACGGAGGCGGGCGGAGGCGGAAGGACTTCCGGTCTGCCCCTCCGCAGCCTCCCTCCGGGGGCGGAGCCGGGGACTCAGTCGGGCCCTGACCATCTCGGGGCTCCTCCCATAGACGCAGCCCCGCCCCCTTGCGTGACGTCACCTAAACCCCGCCTCCTAACGCAGCGTAGGCACTGCGCTGGGTGGGTTTAGGATGAGGGAGGGGCCGCGAGTCCTCGCCCCCCACCTGCTGCCAGCCTCTAGCCTGCGAGAAGCTCGGACCCGACGTGGATGCGGAGTTCGGGTGTTTAGGAATCTGGCCCCGGCCCAGCTTGACTGGTGAGGTGACAGGCAGTTAGTTCAGCAACGACCAAACTCAAACTGGACTAACACCCAGAGATGCCTTCATCAGACACCTACTGTGTTCCAGACACTGGACTGGATACCTCACACTGCATTTTGTCCAACCCAGCCTCCCTGTTGGGCAGGCATCGTTACTCCAGTTTTACGGATGGGAAAATCAAGGCCTAGAGAGGCTGGGTCATTTGTACTGAGGGCTGAGCCATGCAGACGCTCACGGTGGATCCCGAATTCAGTCTTCCTCCAAAGTATGTGTCCTTTTGTTCTTGTAGGCTGCCCTACTTTGCCTTTTAAAGGAATAATTTTGTGACCCAGATAAATCTAATTAGTGGCATTTCCAGCTGGAAGACCAGGTAACATTCATATCCTCCAGATGACTCATCATTAGAATAGTTTTCTAATAGCAAAGGACAGGGAGATCTTAGGGATTACCCATACACACACTGAGTCACCTTGGATGTCAGGGTCTTCATTTCCAGGTTCACCAGGCTTCCCACACCCACCCCACACCTGCCCCATGCTCCCAATGTGATGGGGGATGGGTATTAAAGTGTCGTGTAGCACCCACATGTATCTACGGTGTTTGTAGGCCAGAGACCCACAGCAAAGGCACTGATGCAAACCTCAGGGTTCTTCTGGGTTTCGTAGAACATGAGCAATCTGGGATCCCCTGGACATAGTACAGGGTTGATAAAAGCATCAATTTATATCATGAGGAATGTAACCAGTTCTTCCAGGGATTGTGGCTCCAGAGGAGCATTCATTTACTCAGGGTGGCATTTCACTGGAGAATGAGTAAATGGACATATTGCAGAAGGTCAAAGGTCCTGGGTCAAGGTGATGAAGTCTGTCAGATTTGGGAGGGGCCCTTTGGGCTGGTAGTGGGCAATGAGTTAAGTCTCCTGAGCCTTGTTTTACTCATCTATGAAATCTAGAAGATGAGAAAAGTACCACTTCAGCCCGGCGGTGGTGGCCCATGCCTTTAATCCCAGCCCTAGGGAGGCAGAGGCAGGCAAATCTCTGAGTTCGAGGCCAAGCCTGGTCTACAGAGTGAATTGCAGGACAGCCAAGGCTACAGAAAGAAAACCTGTCTCAAAAAAAAAAACATAAAAAGAAATAAATGAGACTTCCCTTGTTGCTGAGTGATGGTGGTACATGTCTTTAATCCCAGCACTCTGGGGGCAGAGGCAGGTAAATCGAAAAACCAAACCCCCCCCCCAAAAAAAATTCATTCTTTCTCATGCATGATTGGCACAGGGGATACTGGGCCAGGAAAAAAGATTTTGGAAATCCAGGACACCAGTTCCAGGGCAGGACCTCAGGGAGAGTCCCAATCTGAGGGCCTTTGGAAAGCCTCTGTGACCATGGGTCTGGGTCTGG